AATCTTTATGTTTATCATAATTTTTTCTAATTTTTAACAAGTATCAGTTCTTCTAATTTAAAACCTGCTTAATAATAATGTATTATTAAATAAAAAGCAAAAAAATCAAAATTGTTTTATATTTTACATTGCATTATAATAAACCTATTAAACTGTTAAATTCACAAAATTATTATTGAAATTGTCAAACTTTTAAGAATCATTAAAACTCATCAAAATCCATCAAAACTATCAAAATAATTTCTAAAAAGTTTTGATTTTTGTCAAAATGGGTTAAGGATTTTGTCTTATAACTATAAAAATGAATGATAAGAACTTTTATTCAATTAGAATAATTAAAATTATTATTTTAAACAAACTGAACTTTTAGATTAATCTGAAATTTTTAGTTTAGTTTAGATTTTTACCAGTTTATAATTTAGTTAAAATTCAAATTAGCTTATAATCTAGACTAAACTGAAATATTCAAAGTATTAATTTAGCTATTAATTCAATTAATAGAAAATATCATTTATAAAATAAATTAGATGTTTTTAGCATAAATTTTATAATTTAAAATTATTTTACTTTAATATATTCTGATTTTTAATATATATATTAATCAAATATTAATCAAATATTAATTAGCTATAAATAAATATGCTAATTCTTGATTTATATCATCAGCTAGGCTGATTTTAATAATTTGTTAATTTTAGACTGATTTTATATTAATTTATCATATATTTAATTTTTTTTAATTTTAATTAATATAGAGTTAAAATTACAAGAAATTAATTCTTTATTATAAAGTTTAATATTAATATTTTAGATCTAATTAAAATCTATTTAACTTTTATTTTTATATGATATTAAATAAAATTTTTATAATAATCTATTTTTTTAATTCTTCTATAGTATCAACATTAAAAATTTGCCTTAGAAAAATAATTTACAAAATTATTTGATTTAATTTTATATAAATCATATTAAGGAAAATCTTGATCAATGTATTGCATTAGAAAATCAGGCTAATTTATTTAATTTGAAGGATTTATAAAATTCATCTGATTCGCCTATTTCTTCTGTTTTTTCTATATTTTCTATACAATCTGTTTATTCTGTTTATTCTGTTTCACCTGTAATTTTTTTAACATCTGTAATTTATTTTATTTTTTTTTATTATTTTTATAGTTTATATTATTTTTATTATTTTATTACATTTAAGTATATTTTATTGAAACATATATTTATATTTAGTTAATTATAGCGTAATGAGTAGTTAGCCATAGCAAATTCATTTTGTATAATAGAATAGCTTTTTACTTAAGTTGTAAATTAATTCCTCTGCAAGTTTATTAACTCATTTATAAGTTACTTACGACTTTCAGTAATATAAATAAAGGAATCAATTTAAATTCATACAAATTTACTTTTTCTTTTAATGTTATTCTTCACCTAGGATTGTTGTGATATACTACACTAATTTGCTATTGAGTTCATCATTATGAGTTTGACTAATATATCTTATTCTAAGATGAAATAATTTGCTGAGTTGATTCAAGTTTAACGGATACCTGTAAGACTTAGAGATAGTTCTAAGATTAAAAACTCTAACATGTAGAATCAACTGCTACAGCCTTTCAACTTAGATATTAAGATAAACAAAAATGAACCTAATGATAATAGTAATTAAAATCAAAATTATTAAAATATTAGTTTTATTACTAAAAATAACTTTATTTTTATATTTTAAATCAAAAATCTTTTTAAATTACAATATATTATATTTTTAGATTTTTAATCTTTAAAATAAATTTAAACTTTGATTTATTTCTTTTATATTATAATAAAAAGATCTTTAAATATTATATTTAGATTCAAAATTAAATTAATAAATATTTAATAAATAAATATTATTCAAATTTTTATATAGTTCTAATAAATAATTTTAATATTAACTAAAAATGATACTGCAATTAATTGCAATTTTATGACGCTTATTTATTATCAATTATAATTAGTTATAATTTAATTTTTATTAAATCATTAATTGTAACTAATTGCAATACCATCTTTAATATTGATATTAATAAAAATTATAGTAATAAATATAATAGCAGTTTTTAATCTTTATTTATAATATAATTAATCTTAATTTTATTTATATTATTACTCCTTTTAATTTTATTTACCTTTATATTTTATCTTTTTCATTTTATATTGATATTAATAAAATAAATCTTATTATATTATAAAAATTAATAAAATTTAATATAATTAATATTTTAACTTTTTTAACATAAAGCTGAACTAATTTAATTATAATAAAAAAATTAATGATTTTTATGTAATACTTTATATTTGTTAAAGATCTATATATTACTTTTAATGTAATATTAATTTAAACCTTAATTATTTTCTTAATTAAAATATGCAAAATATGTAAAACAAATCTACAAGTATGTATTTTGAAAAACCTAACATAACATTACTTCAAAAAAGGCTTAAAATATATTTTTTATAATTATTCAAGTAAATAAGAATGCTAAAACTTTAATTAGACCTTTAGCAAAAGAAGTTAAAGAGAATGATTTATTCTTGATTTTATTCAATCTATTAACTTCTGGAAAATACTTTTACTGTAATATATATTTTAAAGTTAAAAAAAAATATTAGACTTTAGGTATCTATGTATGAAGGATTAGAAGGTAAAATTATTATTAATGAAGATATAAGGATTTATATATCTCAAATATGTATTTCTTTTAGATAATATTATTATACTATTAGTAAAATAACTTTCTAATACTTTTATAAACCTAATAGAACTCAGATTTTAATTTTTAGAGCTAAAATATGAAGATATACATATATTATTGTATAATTATATTATTTGACTTTTTTAAAGTAAAAATATTAGTTGGCTTGATGACAGTCATATTACTTATGGAAAACAGTTTATTGAATATTTAACTAAACTATTTAGTATATAGACTCATATTTAGAAAAATTACATTAAAGAAAATATAATTATCTGTTGTTATTTAGTTTTCTTTTAGTATATCAGCAAAAAGTATTTATAATGAATACTATTAAAGAATAAAAAAAATCATAAATTATATACCTAGAATTTTCTTAATTAGTTAATTCTATAGAGTTTTCTTTAGCTAAACCTTAGGTATCTAAAAACTGCTAGTAAGAAGTTGTAGTAAATATTTTTAGTTTTATATTTATAATAAAAAAATATTTTGATCATTTTGAAACTATTAATAGTAATATGAAGAGCCTTTACGAAAGTAAAAGTCTAGTATGTAAATACTCTCTAACTGTAATATTTATTTTATTTCTAAATATAATAGAGATGTTGATTCAAGATATTTCAGATTAGATTTTAATCTTGTAAAATAAACTATTTGATTTGTTGATTTTAATTTATATATATCAGATAATTTTATAAAAAGCATCATTTTATTCATAATCTTTAGTTATTTATACTTACAGGATTATATAGGTAAATTTTTTAAATCTATTTATTTTATGAATTATTTATATTAAGTTATTTATATTTATTATAAATATTTTTATGGTAATTATTTTAGAATACTTAATATTATATGAAGAATACTTGATATTGAAGAAGCTAGTGAATATTATCCCTTAAACTGTTTTACCCCCAAATTTGGCGGCAATTTTTGGAAATTAAATGTTGATCCCAAAAAGGAAGGATTAACCGGCACCTGAGCAAGGTGTTTTCTATAACAAATTATATGTCAAGGTCGAGATTTATTGATTCATAACTAAATATTTGATAATTAATAATAAATAATTTTATTTTTTAGGTTAAAATCATCAAACTATACACATATTTATATATATTGCATATCTCCTAATTGAATTATTAATGTTAAAATATATTTTTATTTAAAATTAGACCTATTAAATGATTACAACATTGGATTGACAATATTAGCAATGTTGTCGATCAACTTTTCAATAAAGCAAATATAAAAAAAATAAAATTAAAACCTAATAAATAATATTCATTTTAAAACAGTTAAAAATTTCGTTAATTAAAATATTTTTGATATTCGGAAATAGGGATGTTAAAAAGTCCCATGGGAACAGTCCTATGAAGACCGGTCCAGTTCAAATCCTTTATAAGACTGCGGTCTTATTAATTGGGACTAGAATAATCGATATTAAAAAATAGTTTTAGAAGGATGATATAATCGTTCTAACTGAACGATACTTCATCGTTCTAACTGAACGATATTTCATCGTTCTAACTGAACGATATTTCATCGTTCTAACTGAACGATACTTCATCGTTCTAATTGAACGATACATTATCGTTCAAGTTGAACAATTATTCATGACCGCAGTCCTAGGACTTCAGTCTCAGGACCTGGTCCATATTTGTCTTGTCCTATGGGATTGGTCTTCTTTTAGACTGGGAGTTCGGAACCAGACTGGATTTTGACATCCCTAGTCGGAGACGTTAGTTTATTATTATTATTTTAAATAAATAGCACCTTCGGTATCTTTTTTAAATGATCAACTTATTTGGCACAGCAAAAAGAATATCTTTGATAAATAAATGTAGAAATGACACCGAACATCGTCAATTGCAACATTTTCAACATTTTCGGTAAGACTATGATTTACAATGAATGTGAAATTGGAATTTTTGGCGCGTTTAGCCAATTTTATCTTCATTCAGATGATTTTACAATTGTCTTCAATGAATATTAAATTGGTTATACTGCGGTGCAAATTCCCATTTATAAATTATTTTAAATTGGATTTTGATAGTTTTGTATCCTACCTTTACTCGATTTTTATAAATTTTTAAACAACTTTATCTCTTCCTGTTTATTAACTCCGAATTATCTTCCCCCCTCCTTATAATAACTTTGTATTAATAATCATTGGCTCAATCATTTCGCAATAAGCCGGAGCTGTTCTAATTTGGCATATTTTATAATTAATTTTATTATTAACGTTAGATATTTACAAAAATGGAGAATATTGAAGAAACTATTGATGCATTTGAGGATTATGAAACAACTGAAGAGGATTTTGAGACAATCGAAGAGGAAGCAATTGAAGAAGAAACTGAAGAATTATACTATTATAGCATAATTAGAAACCCAAATAATTACTTTGAAAATGAGTACTTTGAATACTTTAATGAATATGAAGAAAGAGAAAAAATAATAAGGAGAAAAAAAGGTAAAGGAAAAAATAAAGAAGGAGAAGAAGAATCAGAATTTGAAACAGTAGAAGAATCAGAATTTGAAACAATAGAAATTGAAGAAAAACAAAATGAAGAAAATGAAGAAGAAAATAAAAATGAAGAACAACAACAAGAAGAAGAAGAGACAGAAGAAGAAATTGAAATTGAAATTGAAAGATCAAGAAGAAGACCAAGAGGAAGACCAAGAGGAGGGTTAAGAGGAGGATCAAGAGGAAGACCAAGAGGAAGAGGAAGAGGAAGAGAATTAATAGAAGAACATGAAGAGGAACAAAGAGAAATAGAAATAGAATATAATGATGATGAAATAGAAAGAGAAAGAGAAAGACCAAGAGGAAGACCAAGAAGAAGACCAAGAGGAGAATCAAGAGGAAGACCAAGAGGAAGAGGAAGGCCAAGAGGAAGAGGAATATTAAGAGGAAGATTAAGAGAAAGATCAAGAGGAAGAGGAATATCAAGAGAAAATGAAGGAGAAAGAATAGAAAATGATGATGAATATGAAGAAAATAATGAAAGAAATTATGAAGAAAGAAATAATAATCAAACACTTCCACCACCACCATCATTTAACAAATTTAATCATAATAATCCTTTACATCAATCATCTATTAATTTACCTTTTAATTTACAACAACTTGACTTTATATCAGGATATTCTATATTTTCCTTATTTTTTTCAGCTGAAATTTTAAAATTAATTGTTAAAAATACAAATACTTATGCAATTATACATAATACTGGAGAAGGAAGATTATGGAAAGAATTAACATTATCTGAATTACAAATATGGCTTGCAATTCTAATTTATACTGGAATTTTTAAATCACCATCTATTAAAGATTATTGGAATAAAAGTGAACATTTTCCAACACATAAAATTACAAATTTTATGACTTTATTACGATTTGAACAAGTATGTATTAATATTATTAATTAAATAAAAATTATAAATAAAATTTACTAAAATTAAAATTTTTTAGATTAAAAGATATATACATATATCAGATGTTAATGATTCTACTGCATCAGATTACTGGTTTACAAAACTTGAACCTTTAGCAAAACATATACAATCTATTTCAAAATCTATTTATATTCCAGCATCAAATGTATCAGTTGATGAAGCAATTGCTCGATTTTCTGGACGTAGTTTACATACGTTTAAAATTAAAAATAAACCAACACCACAAGGATATAAAATTTTATCATTATGTGATTATGGATATACATATTCTTTTATATTTCTTTCTAGAATTTATCATCATCCAGATATTGAAACTATTCCAGGATTAAACAAAACTAGTTGTGAAGTTTGGCATCTTATAGAACAATTACCTTTAAATAAGTCATTTAATGTTTACATGGATAATTATTTTTCAAATATAAATTTTTTTAATTTTTTAAGAAATAAAAAAGTTGGTGCTTGTGGTACAACTCGTACAAATTCAGTAAAATTTCCAAAAATATTAAAAATAAAAAAAAAATTAAATTGGGATATTCTTTCTGGAGTAGTTATAGATAATGTTTTAGCATTATTATGGATAGATAATGGACCTGTAACTATGTTAACAACTATACATGAAATTAAAGGATCACAAAATCGTATTCAACGAATTCGTCGACGTCCACGAATAACTAGTGCTAATGCTGTTAAAGTAAGAAATGTTTTTGGAAATGAAGTTAAAAAATCTTTACCAATTCCAATCGTTATTAATGATTACAATCATTTTATGGGTGGTGTTGATATAGCTGATCAATTAAGATCAAGTTACATTATACAATTTCCTGTACGAAGAACCTGGTTACCATTATTTTTTTGGTTATTAGATACAGCTATAATTAATTCATTTTTAATATTTAAAATTAAAAATAATAAAAATGAACTTCATAAAAAATTTAGATTAGATATTATATGGAATTTAATTGAAGCTGGATTAGGATTAGAAGAAAAAAGAAAAACACGTAATCAATTAGCTCCAGTTTCAACTTTACCTTCAACATCAAAATCTAATTATATAACTACTAATTTTAAATTACCTTTAGAACGATTAGTAGTAAATAATAATCATTTTCCAGAATGGCGAAAAGATAGAAAAGCATGTATATGGTGTAGATATATAGACAAACAAAATAATGAAAAATCTGCAAAACATCCACCACAATCACAAATATGGTGTAGTGCTTGTAATGTACCTTTATGTTGTAATAATATAAGAAATGACTGTTTTAAGAATTATCATATTTTAGATAATTAATATATATTTTTATTTGTACTTTTTTCTATTTATTAAATAAAAAATATTATTTATTATTTAAATAATTTATAAATTTTTATTTAAAATATTATTTATAAATAAATATACTTCAAAAAAATTTTTATTAAAATAATATTAATATAAATTTATTTTAATAATTTCTAATAAAATTTTTTACAATGAAATTTTTAAATAAAAATATTTTTAATAAAATATTCATAATATTGTTTAAGTAAAAAGCAAAAAAAAAAAAATTTAAGTTAATTAGTAAGATTTTGTATTAAAAATTAATCAAAATCAGCTATAATTACCTATAAATTTATAGGCAATTTTAATCAATTTTAATTATTTTTTAATACAAAATCCTACTAATTAACTTAAATTTTTTTTTGATTTTTACTTAAACAATGCTATGAATATTACTTTAAAAATATTCTTGTTTAAAAAATTTCATTTTAAAAATTTATTTTATTAGAACAGAATATGTTGATTTGCTAAAAAATATAAAAAAATCAGCATTTTATTTTAATAAGTTTTTTTTTGAAATATGAATTCATAAAAAATAATATTTTTAAAATAAACTTTATGATATTTTTTAAGTAAAAACAAAAAAAAAATTGCATATTAATTAATAAAATATTAAATTAAAATTTAATTAAATTTAGTTAAAATTATAAATAATTTTATTTAAATTTTAATTAATTTTAATTAATTTTAACTTAATATTTTTATTAATTAATATGCAATTTTTTTTTGTTTTTACTTAAAAAATATCATAAAATTTATTTTAAAAATATTATTTTTTATGC